TCAGGGAAGCAGGGTGTGGTCTGTCTGTAGTAGGGTGCTCTGTGTTACTAGACTTATGTAGCAATTCCAAAGTCCTTTTATTTAGAGTCTGTACAGAGGGTTCTATGTTCTGTTACCTTTGTTCAGCTGCACAGAAATCCCAGTTTCGTTCCATTGGCATTTCTTGTCTGCCTTGTTCAAGGCTCTTGAGACCAAGCTGATATTCCCCTTTAGAGAACTTAGATGTCAGTGTTTTGACCCCAGGTTCACCTTGGTGTGGATTCATTTTTTTGCTCCTTGCCCTACTTGTCAGGATTTCTGACTTCTAGATCTAAGAAGAGACAGACCTAGAATTAGAGGGGCTGTGTTCAGATCCTGGCATTGCTACTCACTATCTTTGTGCCTTTGGACAAGTCACTTCATTTCTTTCTGTCACAGTTTCCTCATCTGTAAATGATAGGGTTGACCTCAAAAGTCCCTTCCAGTTCTTAATCTATGGTCTTAATTCTGATTATTGTCAGAAAATTGCTATGAACATCTCAGTTTTTTTTTTTTAAAAATGACTCCGAAAGCCTGCCTGTGAGGAATATCTTGGGTGTGTGGGGGGGAGTAGTCTCACTTTTGGGCATAGCTATGAAATCTTCTATAATTGTGCACATAGACAACTGCTATTCCTGGTGGTCAATTGACTTGTGTCTTGGGCAGGGTAGGATACAGTAAGGCTAAGAAAAATGTTGAAGTTGGTAAAGTTTTTCTTCCTCTGCTATGTGTTCAAGCCCAAAGATGTAAGTGCCTTCAGCTTGAGAGAGAGAGAGAGAGAGAGAGAGAGAGAGAGAGAAGAGAGAGAGAGAGAGAGATGTGTGGGTGGATGTGTATGTGTGTGTGTGTGTGTGTGTGTGTGTGTGTAGGGGAAGGGGAGCATTGTGTGAAACAAATCACTATTTTAACTCCTTATGGTCTCATCCTTATTCACCCACATTTTTCCTCACTTTCTCTTCTGTGTCCTGACTTTGGACCCATTGCTACTATACGCAGGCCACGTTTTCTTATTCAGTCCTCTGGATGTGTTACCAGCATTGATTTGTCGACTTTGGAACCATTTACCTATTATTCTGTGATCCCCAATTTCATCCTCTGTAAAATGAGGGAATTGAATTAGATGATCTCCACAGTCCCTCCCAGGTTTAAACCTATGATCCCATGATCCTTTTTCTCTCAGCTGTCTGAATAAGTATTTTGCTTGAAATGCCCTTTTCCTTAGGCTTGTGGACTCTGTTGCATATTATCAATCTTTCTGTATCCCTGCCTCCCATGATATTCTTCACCTGCATCAAATTCTTCTGCCTTGCTTGTGGGGTCTCAGTCCTATCATCCTACTCACTGACTGTTCAGTGTTCCCCATCCATACCTATCCTCCTTAGCCAGTGCTCTATGGTTCAAAATCGTCAATCTTTTCCTCCCCCTCCACTCAAAGACCAGTTTTTAACCAAATTTTCACACAGCAAATTGATCTGATAAACTCATTCATACTAATGTGTTAATGACTAATAATTATTCCTTGGGTTGCCCTTCCTGGAATAATTTGCATTTTAACAGGGTATGTTAGCTCAAAAGAATGGACCTAACACACATGTAGTTTGGGGTACAATATAGCAGGTGAGTAGGGGAGAGTTTGTTTAGGGAGAATGACTTCATGGTAGCCTGTAAGTCCCCCTATGGAGGGGGTCCCACGATAGAGGGAGACAGTCACTCTGTCTGGCTAGCTGGATAGTCTTGGGTTCAATTTCTGACTTTGTTGCTCTGTTGTTGTTCAGTCGTGTTGGACTCTTTGTGATCCAGTGGACCACATCACTCCAGGCGGTACTGTCCATGGTGTTTTCTTGGCAGAGATACTAGAGTGGTTTGCCATTTCCTTCTTCAGTGGATCACCTTTTGTCAGAACTCTCCACTCTGACCTGTCTGTCTTCGGTAATCTTGTGCAACATAGATCATAGTGTCACTATGCTACACAAGCCCTTCCAAAATGAGGTGGTTGGACCACACGATCATAAGAACCCTTCTAACTTAAAATCTATGACTCTATGTATCAAGTCTTCCTCTGGTTTCCAGAATTCTCCTGGGGGGAAGACTTAGCTTTCTTCAGCTGGGTTCTCTAGGGCTGAGGACACTGAGGAGAGGAAGGAGCCTGTCATGTATCTTGTTCATATTCTCTGAGCTCTTATATCAGAGAGCTATTTTAGGCCTGCTTTTCTGGGTCCGTTCTCTTTAACTAGGAGTTACATACTTGCACCAAAAGAGCTGTTTCTTTCATTGAAGAAGACAGAATCACTGTACTGATGGGCGTTTAAAAAAAACCCACCAGGAAACATCAGCTCAGTTGTTTGATCAAGTTACCTTTCCTGGATCTGAGGTGACTGTAACAACGTTAGACATCACTAGCCTGGTCCTATTTAGACTAGTTCCAGAAGGCGCTGATGGAACTAAATGAATTTGCTGCCCTGTAGGTTCTAGCTTATACCTCAAAATGTCTGTTTCACTGCTGTTCTGCCATCATGTGCCTTGAAATAATATTAGCTCAGGTAGGTCAGATATCTTTTAATAACACCCCTAAATCAACTGGGGAACAGTTAAGGGGGTGTAGCTACCGATTCCCCCAATTTATTTTCAAGGTCATGTGCCAGGGGCCTTAAATCATGTAAGGTATAAAACTGGAGGGACTTGGGGACTGTCAAGAACTAGAAAGTAGAGTGTGAGAGACATTGACATTCTGATCAATGACTGGAGACCCAAACAAATCAGTGCAGGACTTTAAGAGATGAAGTCTCACTGTGCTCTCTCTGTCATCAGAATTTATAAAGCATTGCAGTGAAAAGCCCCTGGAGGATATTCCTAGAATTTTGCAAGTCATGAGCGTGTATGTAAAAATCTGAATCCCTCTCCCCCTCCCCCTAACCCCATACCAATAGTCTTGTAAGAGCAAAGTGAGAAAATAATTTCCAAGTCTGCCTGGTATTCCAGCCCTGTTTGGTTAAATGCTAGCCTCTTGGTTTGGAAATGATGTCATATCATGATGCCATTAAATTTCTAGTTCTCTATATCTTGATTTTGAATGAAGTGAAAGTTAAAGATCTAATTTTTAACCAGAGAGGGAGAGAGAGGGAGAGAGAGAGAAAGAGAGAGGAACGAGAGAGAGAGAGAGAGAGAGAGAGAGAGAGAGAGAGAGAGAGAGAGAGAGAGAGAGAGTACACAGATCCATTACTTTTTTCCATATTGCAGGAATGCTGAAATGCTAAATTATGAATTTTTTTTTCCTGTCTCCAGATAAGAGCCCAGAAATTTGTTTACAAATAGCCAACATCCATGTTACACTTTGAGGAAACACTTGGGCACATAACTGGCAAACACCTTTTGCCTGCCAGAGATAAAAATTGGAGTTGGACAGAATGTTGCCAATAGTAGCCTGATGTAGAAGCTCCTTAGGAGGGCGTTGATAAAATGTTCCATCCCTCTGAATGCACCTTTGTTTGTTAGCTACCTATTCTTGTAGCCTGAACCCTGATGTTGCTACCAGAATTTGTAACTTCAAATTCAGTGAAATATAACCTAGCAAGAAAAAACTTTATAAAACCGCTTTCTGTAATAATGCAGAACAGATGAGATTCTCAGCTGCTCTGGACAGGAGACTGGGTTGGAGTTAACTGACTTGGTCCAGGGTCCTGGTTCTCCCCCTCCCCCGCCGCCACGCTTCTTTCTTTTTCCTTTTTCCTCTTGCTTACTAAAGTAAATGGCTTTGAAATCACCACAGACAAGTATCTCAGCTTTTGCTTCAGGCCCTTATCTCATCTAAGTGCGCTTTATTAGATGAGATCATCTACGCAGGACTTATTTCAGTTATAAAACGGAATAAAAAAATTAAAAATGTAATTGGTTGATGCTCTCTTGCCCTCAGTTTGGGAGGGAAAATTTTGATATGTGAGATAGTAGCCCAGTTATATGGGCATTTACCCATTCCTGGCTTATGGTCTCCGAGGACCCTGATAAACCCCAACTCATGGTGGTCACACTATCTTTGGAGAGAATTTCCTTTGGTGCATTTTGCTTGGGCATTTCCAACTCTAAAGCCAGGGTCTGGTAGCTAAGGTGATGGTGGGGCCCTCGGTAGCCAGAGCATCCTTGAATAAAAGCTGCTATGCTCCCCAAATTCCTAACCTCCATTTTAAGTAAGTTTCATAGATAAGGGAATCATGGGGGGGGGGCAGGAATCCCTCTGTTTGTTCCCTTCCTGCCCCGTTGAGAGAGGGTGAGAAGCATCATCTTGTTTTTTCTCAAATAGATTACAGATAGTTCTCACTTTACGTAAATTCACATTACACAAACTCAACTTTACATAAAGAATTTTGAAAGACTGTTTGAGGATAATGTTGCTTGCTATCATCAGATATACAAAGAAATGAGAATCACTGTCCAAACATCCCTCGATAGCTTCATAAAAAATGTCGTTCAACCAACCACCAGTGGTAAAGGCTGGGTACAGTGGGTGGGGAAGCAGCAACATATTGCATACCTATGTTAACTTTAACTGTGCATGTTTTATCTTTAACTTTTTCATTTCATAGTTCTGTTTACCAGCATGATGCAGTATTTAATGTGTATTTATTTTAGTACATTTTATGATATATAAAGGTATTATTTTTGTGTATGCCTTTGTTATATAAGCTAATTGAAGTGGGTCAATAGAGGCAAGTTTGCATTATGTAAAAATCACTTTACATAGAGGTCTGCAGAATGGTCTACTTACGTAAAGCAAGAACTGTTTGTATTCCTTTCTTCAGTGGTATGTGTATGTGCGTGCTATGTGATCTATGTATGTGTGTGTGTGTGAGAATGAAGAGGATTTTAATGTTCCTATTTTAAAGTCTATTTTAAAGCCTCCCCATCACAAAATCAGACTTAGCCTGAATTAATCTTAGCTTACATGTCTTGTTGAAGCACATCTGTTTGACATTTTAAATTTCTCACAGGTCTTATTTTTACAGTTCCTGACCATCAGTCTCTACCCTACATCTTTAAGAAATTCCCTCAATCAAGAGCGAGGTCCGTTGCTTTAAGGATAACCTGGTAAGAAACATCCAATTCATGGCATATTAAAATGCTATCTGTTTATGGGTCTGTATGGGTAAACCAAACTGCTACCTCTGGGAAGAGACAGGAAGAGATTCAGATCCTTTGCTTGGATAAGAGCCCCTTCATCACTGCATGGATTTAGACTCTGTCACTTCAGGCAAAGTTTATGACTATTGAGTGGCTTGGGGTGGTGGTGATAGTGGTGGGCAGCGGGCATAGAGGGTGGGTAGATATTTTTAGGGGATTTTTTTTATTCAGAGGTCGCTGTATTAAATTGTGAGTCATGGGATCTTGGTGGGGGGCAGCCGGAGAGGCTGAATGATCAGGCAGTAGAGGGATATAGTAATTGCACTTACAGCAAACTGCTCTCAGTGATTTTATTATCAGGCTCCTGAGTATTTGAAGCTATTAATAGATTGGTGCACTTATCAAGGAGTTTTTGACTTCTATCTTGGTTGACATGCCTGCAATCATTCTCTCGTCCATATGCACAGCATGGGATTTTGACCTGATGCTGCTAACAGGGCTGGCCCACCAAGGGTAGGTTCACCCTAAAACCAAGGCATGTGCCCAAGAAAGGCAGGTGCCCCCACGCGAGTACACACCCACTGCCAGAGTTCAATTCTATCTCACTCACTGATCCCATGGTTCAGTGAAAATCACTTTCAGAAGGACTCAGCATGTAGTATACCAGTGAGACCCTAGGAGGGGCTTTTGTAATTGATGGTTGTTTTAAGCATTTAGGCAGATAGAAACTTAAAATAAATATTAAAGCACAACTCATAGGTTTGATGTTTTTTTGTATGTGTGTGTGCACATGTGGTTTTTTTTTTTTGTGTGGTCTCTATTGAGGCCTGTCTGTGACATCCCCATAAGCTCATATTCCATTCTAATTAGCTAAATCTACCTTCTCCTGACCATATTCCTTAGAGGTCATCACATAAACCATTTAAATTGATAGCAGAATTATGCATGAAGAAATTAATTTTATATTGCCCTGTATACAGTTTTTTTATTGTAACTTTATCTTGTTTCAGAAGTGCTTACTTTCTGATTTTGTGGCTATTACTGACCGTGGATTACTTTTATTTTGGGTTTTACACAACAGTTATATTAGAAATTTGCTGTTTTATTCTTACCTTCTTAGTAAAAATCCTTTTATCACACAATGGGTAATTTATATCCATTACCAACCCTTTCAATCCTTTTCAGTGGGGCTGTCAGTGCCTTTGGCACAGTAATGATTAATGTGATCTAATAATAGTGTGCCATTATATTACCTTAGTAAAACATGTACCAACATCCTATTCAGATCTACCAAATTCATAGCTTCCTATAATATTTTTGTTGAAAGACAGGATTACTATTTTTCAAAGCTGATTTTTTTCCCCTTTAACATATTTAATGAAATTCACAATCCCTTGCCATAGTCATCACAGGCATGTGTTTGGGCTTGATGGGTGAATTTTATAGCGTTCTGCCTTATTGTGATTTGTTAGGCAAAAGGTCTGACATGCAAAGAGATCGAATGGAGAGATTATTTTGTTTTTGTTTTGTTATGGCTGTGTGTGTGTGTGTGTGTGTGTGTGTGTGTGTGTGTGTGTGTGTGTGTATGTTTGGCGGGGTAAAGTTTCTTTTTGTTTTTATTTTTTTGAAGCTGCTTATTTTTCAGAGCCTCTCTGGGTTTATAATAAGGAAGGCATATTTTAGATCAAAAGGCAAATGAAGAGCAAACTACTGTGCTGAAATTATATATGTGCACATGTATGTATGTGTGTGTATATACATATATATTTCTATTATTGTCCTCAGTTTCTTATGACTTCTGCCACCTGCCACTGTCCAGAGTTGAAGCAACTAACACTAGGGGTGGGGAACATCTGGCTTCCAACATCTGTACCCAGGGACATCTATCAGTATAACAGTAAATCACTTCTGACCAGCCTATCCTCCTCCCACTTTAGGGTGAGCCTCTGGACCTTCCCCCAGACAGAAAGAAAAGAGAACTTTCTAGAGTTATTCTTCTTCAGAACATATGAGCAGAGCAGGTTCCATAGATAAGCAGCTGGGGTTGAAGTGGTGGAGATGGTAGCCTAGAGATTGCAAGGGTTTGAGTTTCTTTCACTCACTGTTGTTTAAGGATAGGTTTGAGGTCAGAGATTCCTTATTGCTTTCCCTTCCTGCCCCTTCTGAGGCAAGTCATCTGCATCAAAATGGTCATCCTTGCTCTCTGACCTGTCTGTGTTAGTATGTGCATGTGTGCATTCGAGTTTGTGCAAGTGTGTGGGGTGTGTGTGTGTGTGAGTGTGTGTGTGTGTGTGTGTGTGTGTGTGTGTGTGTGTGTGAGAGAGAGAGAGAGAGAGAGAGAGAGAGAGAGAGAGAGAGAGAGAGAGAGAGAGAGAGAGAGAGAGAGTGAGAGAGAGAGAGAGAGTGAGAGGGAGAGGGAGAGAGACTGACTGACTTAGGAATGACTGTCACTCTGAAACCTTGCCCTGACTGAAATAGAATTGCCTTCCTCCTTTCTGCTATTATAAGGCTCTGTTGTAGTGTCTGGCCTGAGAGAGGATCTGTTTCTTGGTTTCATCCACTTAAACCCCGTCATAATCATCCATGTGATTGATAACATTCCACCTTTTCATAGGGCCTTAAGTCTCTGTCAGCCAAGGAGGACATTATTGTACCGAGGGTGAGATGTACTCAAACAATTACACACTTAAATCTAAATGGAACGGTGTGTCCTCTGATTCCCCATGCTTAGTGATTGGTGTTAACCAGTGATGTACCTCTACCTCCTCCTGAAACCTGAAGGGTACAAATTCCTTCAAACTGGGTTTCCCCTGTCGGCTTTTGGCCACTGAGCACCCAAAGGCAGTAGGAGCAATCGGCTTCTTTTGGCTTAAGTGGCGATGGAGATTTGGAAAGACAGAAAAAGAGATAGAGGGGGCTGGGCTGAGGGATCCTTGTTTTTGATTCAGAACAGAAATCACTGCTGCAACATTGGCTTGAAATATGCAATCAGCTTGAAATCAGGAAAAGTATTTTGAATACAGAATTTATATTGAAATACTTGAATCTTGATACATGCATACACACATACATGTATATATTTAAGTCAGGAGTAGAGAAAAGCAGAAATAAAGTCTTTGTCATAAAAATATTGCCTGCAGTATTTGCCATCCGATTATGCAATGCCACAACAGAATACACTCTCGTACCATTAACATTTAAATATGAACCATTCTCATTTATTTTTATAACTGATCCTTGATAACAACAAATGTGAAAACATAGCCCTACCTCTGCCACCTCAGTTTACCTTTGGTACTTGAAAGATCTTAAACAAGGCACAAAATTCTGTGAGACATTGATATTGAACAAGAGGTCTATGTGATTCAACAGCATGGATGGGGTGCAATCTGTACCAATGGAGGTAATAAATACCTTGTGAGGATCCATGGAAGTAATTAAGTAATATTACTTACCTTAGTCTAACATAATTATGTATGAGTTGCTAACTGGTGGTGCCTTTTCCCTCCCCAGCAGTGAAAAAGCCCAAATACATTGCATAGGCACAAAGTGCTACAACAATAAAATGCCAAAGGAATTCTTCATTTTTGTCCATTTCCTTTCTTTTTGCCTTGTCTCTTCATCCTCCTTAGTACTTGGAACCTTGCAATGGTTTTTTTCCTAGTGTGTCAGTGTCCACGAGGCTTTCCTATGATTTCATCAATTAAGTTAAATGGAGTATTGGGAGCAGCTGGGTGATAACAGTGGCTAGAGGGCCAGGCCTGGAATCAGGAAGACCTGAGTTAAACTCTAGCTTCAGACACTTGGCAGCTGTGTCACCCTAGGCAAATCATTTAACCTCTGTTTGCCTCAGTTTCCTCATTTGTATAATTGAGATAATAATAGCATCTACCTTGTAGGGTTGTTGTAAAGATCAAATGAGATAATAATTGTAAAGCAGTTAGCACAATGCCTGGCACAAAGTAAGTTTATAATAATGTTAGCTATTATTGTTGTTATTTTTGTTATTCTTATTCTTACTATTATGTGTCTAGGACTGTGCTAGATCAAGATGAACTGAAAGGGGTGAATCCCTACGGACACTCTACCAGCAGTGATGGCTGCACCCTTAGAGATCTGCAAGCCAGTTTAGAAAACTAGCAACTTATTACGAACAGTTTTTTTGGAAACTAAGAGTCTGTTTGTCTCAAAGTTAGGCACAATGGGTGACAAATTTGTTGAAGCCAGACTCCCTGGTTTTCAGTCAGAATACTAGTGCCCAAGCCTAGGCTTTGAATGCGTAACAATAGCTCACATCTGCACAACGCTTTAGGATCTATAAAGCATTTTCCTTAACAATGAGTCTGTGCAGTAGATGGCATACATGGTGTTATCTCCATTTTGCAGATGAGGAAACTGAGAGTTACATAGTAAATGCCTGATAAGGGTTCCAATCCAGATTTCCTGACTCCAAGACAAATAATATACCAAGCTTTCTCTCATTAGGGCTTATGGGGTGGATCTCTCATTTCATTGATATGGGGAACTTCAGAATGAGGAAATTCCCTCCATCAGTGCAGGTTGGCACTTTCTTTACAACTTATAGTCTTAGAAACTACTTTGAAATCTCAAAGGTTAAGTGACTTGCCCGTGGTCAGCATGTATCCTTTGGAAAGTCACTTAATTTTTCAGTTCTCTAGGCGACTCTTTAAGGCTCTCTAAAGTGTTTCAGGCTCTCTTTATTTTTTTTGTTTTTGTTTTGTTTTTGGTTTTTTTTGGTTGGGCAATGGGGGTTAAGAGACTTGCCCAGGGTCACACAGCTAGTAAGTGTTATGTGTCAGAGGCCGAGATTTGAACTCAGGTCCTCATGAATCCAGGGCTGGTGCTCTATCCACTGCACCCCTAGGCTCTCTTTAACTTATTAACTCTGTAACATCTTTTTGGCTCTGAGTCCAGCTACCTATCCACTATGCCATATTGATGCTCTC